CACTTATTACTTTTAAATGGCTTTCAAATGAATGAATGACACTTCCAGGTGAAGTGGGATTTTTTTTTTCTTTGCTCCGTTAGTTTATGGAAAATAATATAAAATATTTTTTTCTGCAACGTTTAATTGAATAATATCACTCTTAATTGTCAATTATGAGACAGCTAATAGCCTTTATGAGCATTTAAAGTGTGTGCAAGTAAGTGTGTGCAAGCATGCCTACGAGTGTGTGATTGAATGCATTACTGCATTGTGTTACAATGGCACGTTGCAAATCTTGACGGCCCACTCACAAAACAATGAGACATTCACAAGTGTTTATAACATTTTATCGATTATAACTGCAGAAAGTCAGTGATATTAACTTGGCAATTTTGTGATCTCTTAAACACATTTCTCTTAATTTTGCCTTTTCTGTGCTAAAATATTTTGTTATATTTTGAGGATTTTTATCATTTTTAGACAGTTAAATCTGGTGAGCAAATATGGCAGTTCAGTGCTGATGAGCTTTGTAATTTGAGTCACAATTTATTAAAGAAATAAAATAAAACAAAAAATATATAAATATAATTTTTAAAAAAATGAATAAACAAAAAACGCAATCATTCTGACTCAAAAAATAATGGAGAAAAAAAATATATATATACATTAAAAGATTCTAATATTCAATGATGACTATTAGTACAGATACATTGCATTTCTAAAAATCTATTCCAATCTTGAATCTTGTTAAAATATTTTGTCTGTGTAACATTAATAAAACTTCTATGAAAACACACGGTATATGCACCACAATTTAATTAAATTTAAAATCGAACCAAATTTAACCAAAATACTTCTTACTCATAATGGTGTGAGAATGACCCCTGCATAGGATCGGGTGCGTCCCTTACACCAGTGTGTGTGAGCCTGTTTCTGCATGTGGTGTTTGAGTGTGTGTGCTGCGTGAATGTTCTAGTTATGCTTTTTCCTGCAGCTGTTATTGGCTCTAATGAGAAAGAGCAGATTAACACTTCAAACCTGACCCTGTGTCTCTCTCTTTCTCTTTCTCACTTTACCCCCTATAGATTTCTCTCTCTTTGTATCTATCGCCCTCTTCATCTCTCTCTTCCTTTTTCTTTACTTCCTGCCAAAAAAATTTGGCACTTACCAAGCAACAAATGGCTTTGGCAGGTAAATAAAATTACTTGCCATTTAGGCAGTAAGTCAAACTGCAAGAATGACCTTCACAAATGTTAAGTCTTTTAAATAAAATCACCTAGAAAAAGAAAACATCTTTTTAATTTGCAATTTGTGCATCTCCTAAAAACTTTTATTTTCAAAAGTTTATCTATGACAACCTTGTTTACATTTTTGTTCTCCAAAACACAATGTGGAGACATAAAATAGAAGAGCTAGAACTAATATGCAAGAAAAAACTATTAGATATTTCCTAAATTAATATTAACTATAAACTATTTACAATTAGCCTATTGTATTTCTACAAGAAAAAAATATATATAAATAGAATAAAATTAATGCAAAATTTAAATTCATGGCCTGGTTGTTTCAAAACATAGCAAGATGTCTACCTAGACAGCACTCATTGGGCATCATAGTCTGTGAGGCTTAAAATGCTGTCTATGTAGGCAGCTAAAAAGGTTTTTAAACCCAGATTTGGTGTTATATTTCTTCATCAGCTAATCTGTTCTCAACACATTTATCTCTCCCTTATGTTTAGCCTTCATTTCTTCCTTCTTTCATCTCATTCTGAGCCTGTCCAGCGGGACAGTCTGATGATTAAGTTGTCAGATACAGATACAGATGCCATTTGTCATACCGTTTTATTACTTACACCTGCATGCTTTTTGTATTTACACACACATAATCCCATAAAGTTGTATGCTTTATCTGGCCTAATGCTGATCTTAAGGACATCTTACCAATGGCTGCTTCAAAATGACATATACTACATCAACATACACACATAGACACACAGATACACCTGGATGACCATGTGCAAACCTGCAAATAACAGATGTACAAGCATTAGCATGACTCTCCTTGCCACCCACTGCCCTGGCATTTCATGAACACAAATGTCAAAATGCCAGTTAGAGCTGATAATGCAGCGGTACTCTGAATCTGTGTACACTGTGACTCTGTGTGCTATATTTTATGTCTGGCAAATATTTCTAAAGTGGGATCTGGTGGAAATGAATATAAACCAGGGTTGAGCAAAATTCAGAACTGAGTAATTGGCATCGTTTCAGTGTTGCGTTGGAGTAGCCACATCACACAAAGCTGAATTGGAATTGGAATGACAGGACGAATGAAGGAAATGAAGTGTTCTTCCATTCAGATCAACAAAAGTTAATTTATATAGTAGGATTAAATAGATCAACTAAATACACATTCATAAAAGTGAAGTTTTAAAAATCTATCTGTTAGTAAGGTCTACAAATCTACAAAATATTTTTTTTCAAAACTTTAAAACAAACCTTTGTTGAGTCAATATTCTAAATTTCGTCTTGACAAGCTTTGCTTTTCTAGTAAAAAATTTGAGTTGAATTTTGTTACATTTTAAATTGCAATTGTGCATTCTGTTTGATACATCAAATTAAATTATATTAAAATTCAGGAGTTGAATTTGAAAGTTAAAGTCATTAAATGCAAAATGCAAAATGCATGAAGGACATTAAATTCAACACAACCCGATACCGTATAAAACACTCATCAGCAGGCTCAGGGAGAATCTGTGAATTTTTTCAGAATTTTTTGTGCTCATTTCAGGGGAAATCTGCAGTACTGTATGTATTGTGAGCCGAAAGAATAATCAATAAGCCAAATATTTCATGAGCAAATGAGCAATGATCAGGGGATGCGTAGGACATTGTGATTGACAGGTGTTCTAGCTCTGCTGAAATCTGCTTATCAGTTAATGCCAGCGCTCCTGACTCTCGGAATAATCCAATGGGAGCAAAGAAACTACAGGCCTGCGAGGAGCTCAACTTTAGTTCTGTGTTTTCTCTTACAAACTGCGACACTGAAATTAGGGTGGAGTTTGCCTCTGGCTCTGGGATGTAGATCATCTATTTTCTCATTCCCTTTTTCTTTTTTTTCCTCTCTCTTTTCCAGAGCAATCCATTCTGCCTTGCATCTGGGTTTTGTTCAAGGGCATCGCAGCACGATGGTGCTTCACAGCCTTGTCTCCCTCCATGAGATCTGGCCTGGAATTCTTAACATCCTATGACACCACCAAAACACAACCATTAGACCCAGAAGACACCACAATAAAGGGCATACTGAACTGATATTTACCACATGAGTTTGAATCTAGATGATCTACTGTGTGACAGTGAGACCACACAATCCTGTGAGGAAAATAAAAGTCGTGTGTCTGCAAGCACATCTGTGATGTTAACAGTTTGGCACTAAAGAGAGATTTTGGCAGTGCATTCTTCTTTCACTGACATCCAGAATGTTTCTAAGCGTGGTCAAACACTGTTCTGGAGTGAATAACTTTCACAGGGCTGTATTTAGTAAACAGAGCATCCAAACGGTTCCAAAAGGGCTCAGAAAGTGCAATGAATCATGGTCCTGCACAGTGAGGTAACCCTGCATTCCAACCTTGTTCCACACTCATATTCCAGAATGCTGAGATAATGTTCTAATTATATGTTCTGGAAATTTTTAAGATCCCAAGGAAATCAAGACATCAGAGTTCTTGAATGCGCGTTGAGCTGCAAGCGGCCCCAATCCTGTCTATATTCCTGTATAGCGCACAACACACCCCCTATCCCTTCATCATTTCATTACAGGAGTGTTATTAAAATCCACTTAAAGGCACGCACAGCTTTGCTCTATGGAAAGTATGCAACAGGCCAACAGGCCCCTAAAAGTCTGACCCTCAACATCTGCTTTGAATCTGGTTAAAATATGCATGGCCTGTTACAATCGGTCAATGTGCTTGCCTAACGCCTTGTATACCAGGCCAGATGGACGGTTTTCTGTTTTACCGTATGTCTTATGCAGATGGGTTGATTATTCCCTTTCAATAACCTTTGCTCAGAGACATGTTTGAGATAGCTTTGAAGCTTCCCTCTCATGTCAAGCAACAGCTTGTCAGCAAACAACAAAACACACTCACACTAAGATCTGTAGCCTAGAAAATTGATGTTGTCATAATGTCAGCATGACAAATCCATGGGTCACATGGCGAGGAACCTGTGCAAACCCTGTTGAAAAAAAACTAGCTTAAACCATTCTGGCTTACTGGACTTTACGTTAGTCTCCCAGCCTGGTTTAGCTAAAGTGCCCAAAGCCCCCCTAAACCAGCCTGACCAGGACTAAACAAGACCAGCTAACAAGCTCAGTCTGGTCTAAGATGTTTTGTTTTTCAACGGGGAATATACTCATGAGATTAGCAACACACATGCATGCATCATCTCGAGAAACAACAAACTTGAGTCAGAAGCTGTAGTCAAAAGCAAAAAGACGACTCATTAAACATTTACGAAGATTACACGCAGTCGATAAAATAATAAATAAACAGGAAACAAAACAGCAAAACATCTGCAAACAGAATATCATAATCATTATCATTACCACCGACTCTCAGGAATCAGGCTTTGAGGCTGAAATATAAAGAGAGAGAATTGTGAAAGATACATAAAAAGATGGAGAAGAGAAGAAGATGAGAAGTAGATATGGGGAGATTCTTTTTGATTACATCCTCCATCGGCTGCTCTTTGCACATAATGCTTCTGACATCACGGTGACATCACAATGATGTCACACAGCAAAATACTTAGCATCAAGCATGCTGCTCCATCAAGCACAAACAATTCAAAAACATCTTACATGCATTACATTCCTGTTCTGACAGGGCACTATACTAACACAAATGAAATTCAGACTCTCTCACACAGTTCTTCTTAACTATAATATTTTAGGAGTGACCCATCAGGACAGGAACCCCCAAAAAAACATTTTACTGTAAATATAAGACTATGACTTACAAGATTTCGTCGTTTTGGAACTCCAGAACACCATGGGAGTCTTCAAAGTCCTCTCCCCCTCCACGCGCAGTTCCCTCAATGGTTTTATATGGCAGTGACACCACCCCACGGGCGCCAGACGTACGCAGTACCTTCACTTCCATGACACCCACACTCTCACTAATGTGGGCGACTGGCTCTTCAAATGTGAAGATTCCAGCATGGTCATCGTCAAAGATGGTGACTGTTGCTGTAGAGGGCACACCGAGCGTTGCGATGGTCTCCATGTGATTGGCTTCAGTGGTCTCTGGCTCATCACCCTCGTGAAGCACACGGACATTGCTGAGGTGGATGAGGAAGTTCTCATCCTCTTCAAAGATGTCATCGTCAATAATTCCAACTCGAATCTCCTTTTGCGTCTCACCTGGCTTGAAAACGACAGTGCCTTCTGTGAATTCGTAATCTGAGCCGGCGTTTGCGGTTCCATCTTCTGTGCGGAATTCCACAGACACCGTCTGGTTGAGATCGCCTCCACGTCGGATCACATTCACAGCCACGGTTCCACAGTTTTCCAGGCACTGGTAAGAGCTAGGGTCAAAAAAGATCTTTGAAATCGGGTCATTCTCTCCAGTGTCACTGCGCACCTCATGCATGCTCACTGCTTTACGAGCTTGGTCCGCCGCATGCTTCTTCAGAATGTTACCTGCTCCGGTCATTAAGCGGGTCGCTTGGCATCGGTAGAATGCACGGCTCTTCTGCTGCTGGCTGAGCACCTGGTAATTAGCGAGTTCAATCAACTGCTCCACCTCTTTATCGGGATGTTTCTGCTTCAGTTCCTTCAGGATCTTCGCCATTTCACGTCTTGCTTCCTCCTCATCTAGATCTTTGTCCTCCAGTTCCAAAGCCAGAGTTCCATCCAAGAAATCCACTGCGTGAGAGTTCAGCATCTTCCCATCCATCTCGATATCCACCTTGGATGGCAGAGGACGGTCCCCCTCCGTCTCGATGATCATGCCACGGTGCTTGCCAGCTCGGTAGCGCTTGTAAACATACTTGTAAAACAGGAGGCGGCGGTCAGCGATCCAAGCAAAGACCACGCAAATTGGAAAGAAGAAAAGAGTAAGAAGACCTTCCCACACCTGGACGACGCCCGGCGAGATAACAGCCAAGATCAGGTAGAGCCACAAGTAAGCGAAGATGCTCCAAGTGGCGGTGACGAAGAAAACACGCAGGTGTTTCACTTTGCGATGCTCTCCATCGGGCACCACGTAGACACAGATTCCAATAATGACGAACATGTTGAAAGCTGCACTGCCGACAATGGTAGCGGGTCCAAGGTCACCAGCTTCAAAATTATGGCCGCACACTTCAATGACCGAGAGCAGAATCTCAGGAGCTGAAGACCCCAGAGCCATGAGGGTGAGGTTGGACACAGTTTCATTCCAGACGCGTACAGTTGTAGTGGTCGTTTCACCATTGGGTTTCTTAATGGTGATCTCCTTCTCCTGAGAGGTGATGACCTCAATGGATGCCATGAAGCGGTCAGCAATAATCGAAACTCCCAGAAACATGTATACCATTGCCACGAAGTAAACCGTGGCTCGGGCTACCTTGTCTCCAAACGAAGGGTTTGGGGGCTCCCACATCGGAAGGATGACTCCTGGGGCACATGTAACTGACCCACCACAGCTCAAAGACTTGTTGGAAGGAGAACTATGATCCTGGCTGTGGTCTGAAGCATGTTCCGCTGTCACATGGTGGACGTTGTAGAGCAGTATCACCATGATGACTAGACACTGAAAGCTCAGGAAGAGGCGTGGGGAGGTGTCACGATGCCTCATCGTTCCTTACTCGGCGACAAACTTCTGCTATAATAGAAAGAGAAAAGGGGGATGAAGAGAAAAATAGATCAAGCAACTATTGAAATGAAACCAGGACACTGATCACCAACAAGCACCGACACACGTGTTCTCAAAAACTGTTGCATTATTACGGCATGTCTGAAACTGATTCAAGGCTGACATTTTTGGAACATTTCATCAGCATTTGCTGAAAGGCACGTTCCCAAAATGTCAGGTAAAAAAAAACTCATTCTGGAGCATTTGTACATGATTATCTATTTGTCAAATTTGTTTATCAATTCAATCATCAGGTTCATTTCAACAGAATGCATAAACAAGTCCAGATGCTCCCTTAAGCCTAGTGCTCAAGGACATTACATTCTGCTAGTTGTTTCTCGCTATTAGTCCAGAGCAGTTGGTTCCAAAAAATAATGCAATGAAGTTCAGGTTGGGACGCTGCATGGTGCTTGATTGCAAGTAAGCAGACCTAACTTAAAACAATGCCTGCAAAATGCATCATCATACAAAGGGTGGCAATCGGCCCCTGAGGCAAGAAGAAGAAACGCATATCATGGTGCAAAACGCATGCATGGACACAAACCCACAGTGTCACACACACTCATATCTGCAGTCATCAATGGGCATAGTGCACAGCAAAAGCTTGCATACATTACTCCCACATTCATATGAAACTAAAACCACTAAGCTTTGAATATGCCTACATAATTATGTAATCATACGGATTTCGGTAGCTTTAACGATCGTTTAACCTCGGTCGGTTTAGCGATCTGAAATGCAAAAGAACCGAATACAGAGCGCTTTAATTCAGCACTGCTCAAATCTCGCTCACTCTCACTCTCATTCACATCTACCGCAACCTACTGCTCTCATTCAGCACCTCTACCCCATCCACTGATGAAACATCTGTTATCCCACAACGTACGCGATGCGACACGCATAATTTCTTATTTGGGTGCTCTTACTGTTCGGATAAACGTTGGCTGTACGGTTGCCTTAAGGGCTTTCTTCGTGATGTGCTCACAGAGCGCGGGGGTTCTTGCAACCAGATCGTGTTTAATACAACTTTCACGTGCACATCAGAATCCCGTAAAACGAGGTGAAGGCGAACGGCCGGTTAAAGCATCATCCGCGGGCCACTGCGGACCGGACCGCACCGCACCGCACCGCACCGGACGGGCACGAGAGCTCACCTCTGTATCAAATGGGTCACTCTCCGTAATGATGATATGAATGTGATACTCGGTTTGTCGGTGGCCCCCTATTAACCCTCGTGCAACGATATCGCCAGCATAGCTACATGCAAACCCATAATATATACATATAGCCTAAAGAAGGTCCTCTTACCGTAACGGTGTTCCGTGAAGTAGTCAGTCTGTGGGAAAACGGCAGCAGGAATGTTAACGGAGACAGTGCGTGTCGGAAGCCGTCAGTAGTATCCCAGCTCGCATTAGTTTAGGTTTTTATATAGGAGATGCAGGAAAGATTAGAGACCCACGCGAGTATTATATGGACCCTCCGATTTCCATACACGCGTGTTTTTCCCCAAACAGACCCGTAGCGATCAAATATCTGATGCTTTATCAGCAAATCTGAGAGCGCTGAAATGTGCGTGCGAGTTCTTCCTCATTCTTCCCTCTCTCGGCTGGTTCAGTGTGAGGGACTGGGTGCGTGAGAGTGTGTGTGTGTGTGTGTGTGTGTGAGCGCGTGCCGCGGAGCCTCGCGCTCTGTGAGTGGGATACGCGCTCTGCGTTCGGGAAGAGAAAGAGAGAGCGGGATTCTGCTTCAACGTTTCTCTTTTTTCTCCTCTCACTCTGTTGCCCTCTCTTACAAACATGTATGAACGCAAACGGTCCTTTATCCGTGTTACTGATGATCAATGAATGAATTATCAGTCACGGTGACCACGTGATACAATACCGGTTTCATTTGTAGTGGTGTAATACATCACACACTCGACATCTCATTCATTTTCTATACTGCAACCTCTCCAGCCGGCTGTGAAAACCACACCATTCCATGATGAACGGGTTTGTCTGTAAGTACTGTAGTAAAGGGAAATCACACTCATTCCGCGAATCAGTTATTTAGGTTCAGCACGTTTAATTAGATTTTTTAATGTTCTTCTGCTCTATTAAAATAACTTTTCGCACAATTAGGCTAATTCGAAACAAATATTTCAAATAATTAACAAAAAAAGGGCGTCCGAAAGAGATGATATGATACTCAGTTCAATAGGTCAGTAATTTGTTGACTTGTGAACCGAATTATTCAAATCGAATTTTAAACTTGCTCACTAAATGATCCGACTCAAAAGAACGATTCGTTAAATCGGACATCGCTCCTGAATGGATATATTAAAAAATAAAAATAAAGTCAGTAATTTGTTGACTTGTGAACCGAATTATTCAAATCGAATTTTAAACTTGCTCACTAAATGATCCGACTCAAAAGAACGATTCGTTAAATCGGACATCGCTCCTGAATGGATATATTAAAAAATAAAAATAAAATTATATATATACTGTGTGTATATATATATATATATATATATATA